TTTTGACCAATCCGATGTGCGCGTGCTTGCGCTTGGAGATCATTCTGCGGATTCCAATCACTATCATAAATGATGACTGTATCAGCTGTCGCTAAATTGATACCCAGACCGCCCGCCCGGGTTGAAAGAAGGAAAATAAAGTCTTCCGATGATTCACGATTGAAACTATTCAATGCTTGCCGACGTATTTCACCTTTCATCGAACCATCGAGTCTTTGGAATGGAAATCGTCTTAATTTACAGTATTCAGCTAAAATATTGAGCATTTTCACCATTTGAGAAAAGATCAAAACTCGATGATTGCTTGCACGTAATTTCAGTAATAATTTATCTAACAATAACAATTTGCCACTACCTTTGATGATCTCATCAAGTGTAGCAGCGGTTTCATCATCACGTTTAACGAAAAAAGCATGATTTGCACATTTTTTCAATTCCATCATTATATTAATAAACGATGGCAGACTTCCACCGCGTTCGTTGGTCAACGCTCGGTAGTTTCGCGTCAATATCCATTTGTAATATTGTTTCTGTAAGCGTGTCATTTCGACGCGAAGAATTTGTTCGACTTTGGCTGGTAAAGATTTCTCGACATCTCGTTTGACACGTCGCAATAAGAACGGTTCTAATTCTTTATGTAAATCACTCGAACGTTTCACTGAACTCGTATCATTTGTTGCCAATAGCGAAGAATATTTCGAATCGAAATGATTCCAATCGTTGAAATCATTAGGCATGATGAAATGCAACAGCGACCATAATTCTTTTAAAGAATTTTGCAATGGTGTACCGGTGATGAGAATTCGGTGCTGTGATTCGAATTGGATCAATGTTCGATAGAGCATGGAATCATCGTTTTTCAAACGATGTGCCTCATCGACAAGGATGACGTTCCAGTTGATGGACGATAAATATTTACTGTCTTTGAGGAGAAAATCATAGGTTGTTAGCAAGGCATGAAATTTCAATTGCTTTTTATTGCCGGATGCATACATTTCGAAATGACGAATTTTTTCACGTGAAACCATATCACCGATATATATAATAGTATTCATGTGTGGTGCCCAACGTTGAAATTCTTGTTGCCAACCTTGAATAGTCGATAAGGGAACAGCGATAAGAAATGGGCCATGAACATGATGTTCTTCGAAAACGTAGGAGAGAAACGAGATTGTTTGGATAGTTTTACCTAAAATAAACTCGAAGTGAATTGAATTTGTGGGGAAAGAACAATATTCTTACCAAGTCCCATTTCATCTGCTAAGATAACTGAGTTTTGTTTACACCAAGAATGTGCTAACCAATTTAAGCCTTCTAATTGATAATCTCGTAGTTTGAATTCAGGTTCTTCAGGAGCTAAGTACAATGGCTGCACAGTAATCGGTGAAAATCGTGGTCGAATCACTGCCGTCTTCTTTCTTCCACTTCCACTATTGGCTTGTTGTTGTTGCAATTGCAAATCTTCAGCTTGTTGCGTCAATCTGGCGTTATATTCATCGATTTTACTTTGAAATCTTTTCGATATCAAGTTTCCATCTTCCCATGTACATTCACTATATTGTAGACCGTCCCATTTACATAAATAATCATACGTATTCTCTTGTTCACGATTCTTTTCATGCGCAATGATACGTTCGACTTGCTGATAACCCTCCAAAGCCGTGTCATTCAATTCTTGTTGACATTCGAACAGTTCGATTTCGTCCATGTTAAGATTTTCACGGCGCCACAATCGTGTCTGTTCTTGTTGTTTGAGGAAATTTTCTAGAATGCGCGAGTTTTTCACATGTGATTGCTGTAGACTTGATCGACTTTCCCATGTATTATGCAAATGTGACCAATTTTTCCACTTGATTAAAAACTGTTGTTCGCCATCCGATTGGGTTTCATCATCACCATTATAATCAGCATTGGGATCACCGAATTCATTAATGTTATAGATAGTTGTTGACGGACCAGTCGCATCTTTTCGACCGAAACGTACTTTCAAAACTTTTTCGATCACTTCGGATGATGGTTCATCTGTGACGAGCGTCATTCCTTCACCGGACGATGAGAGATTATCAGATATGCGTACTTTGGTTTGCCGTTTGGCGGTATTGACTTCGAGATCAGTGACAAGGTTGGATTTGGCTTGATGGTATTCGTTCGAATTCGATTCATCATCGTTATTACTGTTTTGGTCGTCATCGGAATCGGAATCAGAATTCGATGATAAATGACGTTGTTGTTTCTTCGATCGACGTCGCACTTGATTGTTTAGTTCGTCATCGTCGGATTCTTCGTGATAGTTGATTGGATTCGATGTAGCTGTTCGACGATTCTTTCGTTTATTCAATGAAGTCGATGATGTGTTACCACCTGCCGATTGCTGACGACGAGGTTTCTTCGATACAGATGTAAAACTTGTTGACGACGACGTTCGTTGACGTTTGCGAGTGGACGATGCATTCGTCGCAGCACTCCTCGAACGATTTGCCTGAATAAACAAATTCTATTTGATATTTCAATTCAATAATGGAAGGGAAAGTCTATAACACGCTCTAGAAGTGATCATAGCTATTGAGAATGAACACCACTATTCTCTGTTATGAAGGAAGAGACCTATCATCGTGGTAGTTTTATCGAAGGGTCAATGGTAAAGAAAATATTTACTTGTTTTTTTGGTCTGCCTTTGGGTTTTGCTTGACCAAAGCCACGTTTAGATTTTGCTCTCAATCTTTTTTTATCATCGAAATCATCATCATCGTCATCGTCGTCTTCGTCTTCGCTTGCTTCGTCATCATCTTCATCTTCCTCGTCTTCTTCTTCTTCTTCATCATCGTCGTCATCATCATCGTCATTATCATTATCATCACTTGCTTCGCTTTCTTCATCACTATCACTTAATCTTTCCTGATGTTGTTCAGATTCATCTGAACTATGCAAGGTATTTTTATTTGTTACTATTGATGATGATGCTGCTGCTTTGTTCTGGCTATGCTGTTGCCGTGATAGAAGAGGTTTGTCTTCTTCATCGTCGTCTAACCTCGTCGCTGATGATATGAAATGTGATAAACTAGAGTTTTGTTCAATTGGATTGGATTCTTCATCGTCATTCAACTGATGATGATCAAGTGTCGTTCGATAATCACTGTTTAACTGATGTTGAGTATTGGAATTGCTGAAATGAGAAAGTGGAAGTGAAATTGACAATAAAGTTTCACCTGCTAGCCTTGACATGTGACAATCTGTCAAAAAAACCGCAAATTGTCTCTCCCTACTAACTTTTCTCAGATTCGATCGAGAGAAAAACAAGCGAGTAGACGGGGAATTTTCGACCATACTTCATTTGTCAACAACTTTCTCAATCTTTTATAGAAGCTTTTCGGTTGCTTCGATGAATGCGTCGTTTAGAAATCGAAAAGTGATCGTTTCTTTCTCAACTTCGATCATATTTCAATACTTCACACAACGCCCAAATCGATCAAGGTCTTTTGAGAAATGAAGGGCTCGTCACAAGGAGACTCCGGACAATCTCTCGATGTTAATATTCCGCAGAAAATCGAAAAAAATCCGTCAAAAAACGTCGAAATGAACGTTTTCTCTCCAAATGTAAATAACACAAACAAACATTTTCAGACCGTTTTTTTCCATTTCACACCGAATTTTTCCGGTAATATCTTGCTAAACTCATTTTTTTTCATTACCTGAACATTGATTGTAATAAAGTATAAGAATATCATACGATGAGCACATACACTCAACACATTCGATCCATATATATTGTATGTTGTTTTATTTTCGATTTTCTCCTTTCACGATTACATCGCCATCTTGACTATGATACACTCCAGACCTCTTTTCTACCGAACGGACGATAGCGACGCCTTCGTCATCCACTTTTGTCTTCACTAGATGAAGTATATATGTGAATAGCACGGTCGCGCAATGTCGCTTGCCGACGTCGATAAGTTATGAATAGAAACAGACAACTGACTGGGAAGTAGCGACGACTATTGTCGATATGAAAATCAAATTGCTTACCAGTAATGTTTATTGTCAAGAGCATCAACCATCCTGGAAAAGAATGAATATAGAAATTAAATGAATATTAAAACAAAGAAATTCGAATGATACGTTACTTGTTATTGAACGATTGAAAATCTCAAAGCATTGTAGTTACGAGAGCTCTCGTTCAAAGAAATCAAAGACAATGATTCTGTTTTATGACACTATTTAATGAAAATTTCTTTTAATGAAGAAAAAAAATTATGAGAGGAGAAAAAAGGTAAAATCACCAACAACAAACACACATATTTGTTTGATGAGACGAACAAGGAAATTAGAGATAATTTCAATCTACACAATGCGAAACCGGTGGTATATATGAGAGAAGAAATGAAGATCGTACATACACGAATTATGACAATAAATAAGGATAGAAGGGTAAATAAAGGAAGAAAGAAGGCAACAGTGCTAGTAATTTGTAAAAGAAAACAGAAAATTAACCAAACATACGCACACTCACAAAGATATAGAAAAATAGTGTGTGATTTTTTTTTTCGTTTTGCGTCTTTTTTGTTTTTGGCTAGGGATACAAATTACATAAGTAAAATATTGAGTTTAGGAAATGTTGAAATTAAGAATAAGAGAGAATAGGAAATGAAAAGAAAAAGAAAACATGTGTACTTGCAGAGATCAGGAGAAGAAGAAGTAGCAAAGTCTAACAGGTACAACGTCGAATGGAGTCCTTTTTTTTTCAATGAGTTTTTGTTGTTGTCTCGCTTGGAGTTCTTTGGGTCAGGTGACTAGAGATAAATCGACGAAGGTGATAATCAATGGCTGGGGATGGAATGTTGGTGGATCGACTACGTTTTGATTATAATAAGAATGTTTTGACGAAGACAATTAAATAACATAAAGCATTGCACATGACAAAAGGAAAATGATCAGATTTTCTCTCTGCCTCTTAAGTATTTTAAAGTCTTTTTTTAATGCTTTTCGTATTTGATCCATATTTAAAGATCGCCAAACGGATCATTAACCTGCGCTTGATTCGGTTTGCCTGGTTGACCAAATGGTGATGCGCCAAACGATTGCGGAGCAGCAAATGGATTCGTATTTGCTCCCATGGGTCGCGCTGGTTGACCACCAAAGCCCATTGGCTGAAAAGCAAAACGTAATGAAGCATGTTTTCCTCAATGATTGTCAAAGCAAAAGAATTTAGTAGACTCATGCAATATGCGCACTACGAAAGTCTCGTCTGACATATCAAAGCTTGTGTTAGAATCTGACGTCTAAAGAATATCCCCAAGCTTAAGCATGTTCTGCATTGAAGCATTTTAACTATATAAATTAGCGATATTAGTAACTAGAATAGTCGATGCAAATAGGAGATTTGAGTAATCAAATGAGAAAGATTAAGGATCATTCAATTAGTTATCCATTCTAATCACACAAACACCCATGTGCAGAAAAAGATGGTATTACCGCAGGATAATACGGGCGTATCATATTCGTCATGTACATCTGTTGTAAGATCAAAAATACATTATGATTGCTGTAATTTAGTCAAGATCCAAATAGGAATATTCTTCAACAAAACCGTGTCCTATACTCGACAAGTTTTGGTTCATTTCTTCGACATCGACACTCGAATCCTGTTGTATAGAAATACTTGAAGATTTATTAAAAATAGTTGACAATGGTTGTTTTTTATTATATTGACTATTCTACCGGATAGAATGACAACGAGTTCACATGAAACTTCAAATGAATATTCTTTCTTTTTTTGTTTATCCATTATGACTATGAATTGATGAGCATGTCATGATATATCTCATGCACTGATCTATTGTGTAGTTGCAATATTAGACAGAACCTTGCAAAAATCATGTTTTTTCTTTTGGATTTTTATCTGACATCTAACGGAATACATTTGCAAATGGAAGAAGATGGAATATTTGCGTCGGCTGTATGACTAATAATCTCAAAAACTAAATGCAGATTTTCTTGTTGCATCTAGACATTATTTCGTCGTGTAAAATCTCTTTTTCTGCGTGTATGAGTGTGTGTGTGTGTTCATGGGCGCGAATTGGGAGGGAAAGCTGTATAGGAATAGATTTTGTACGTACTTACTGGTTACACTCGGCTCAAATCACTTTCCAAACGAATTTTGCCTTCATGTTAAAATATATCGTAGATGAATCGAGAAAAAAGCTCGTAAAAGAGCATATTTTTTCTTGTTAATGCTGCTGCTTCTATCACTACATATGTGAAATCAAATGACTGCCTGTCGTCAATGCAAAAAAAGAGAGGGGTACAGGGAAAAAGAGAAGGAGAGCCGTGTTTGTGCGCCCGCACATACACACACACACATACGCAGTAGAGAGAGACATCATTGCAACTAAACTCGAAGTGCTTGTGTGCAAAAAACGTTAATGCAAGTTGTGCTTTATGTTTGGTTGCTGCTTGCTTCTTGTCTCTTTTTTTCGTTGATATGTGCACATCGAGTTGCTAGTAAAAGCACATGTGCACGGGAGAGAAACGAAGCGAATAATGAGAGTGAGATAGGTGAATGACTCGTTCGGTGTCGGTTATAAATTTTTTTCTTTTTTTTTCGTTGTGAGAGAAAAAAAGATGTTTGAAATAGGGGTGTCATTGCCTGCTGCTATGACACAACGACATTGGAAAGAAAAATAACCGACCAAAGAAATTGTGAGCGAATGCAAATAAATCATATCTCAGTATGTGTGTCGACGAGCGAGCAAAAGAGAGAAAGAGAGAGAGAAATAAACGAGTGAATGTGTTTGCGTCACTGAAACGCGAAGATAAAAACAGAGCGAGAAAAAAATGCTCAGTAAATATATGCGAGGAACAGAGAACTTGGAACAAAGAGAAAATAGCTAATGATGACGATTGCGAGCAACCGATTATGACAGGAGAAAAATAAAATCAAACAAAAATCACGTACCGACGAGCCACTAGGTGCAGCGAAAGGGTTGGTTGATGCTGCTTGGGGTGGTGCTTGTTGCCACATTGTATTTGGTTGTGAACCGGCCATCTAAATATACCGAGAGTAGAAAGTGAAGCAAAGATCTTCGAGATGTACGTACACCACCAAATGGCGCACTCATGGTGGGCTGACTTGGCCATGATGCGCCAGGACTATTCATTGTGTTGCTTCCGATACCAATCTTTTGTTGGTTTTTTCCATCACCCGGTACCCATTGATGGTCTTTGCTGAAGAGAATGAAAGAAATTTGTTGATAAGACGTAGTTCATGGAGGATGTTTACCCAATTCGTGATCGATCTTTCATATCGAGATTTTCGAATAATTGATTTAATGATGAGTTCAGATCTCCAGATTGAAGTGGTTTCGTAGCCGTTGGAATGTTTTGATTATTTGCAAATAACGGTGCTGTTGATGTAGTTTTGCCTGATGAGAGCGATGTCGGTTGAAGAATATCGTCGAAAAAGTTCGCTAGAACACAAATCAATATCAACTGATCAATACATGTACACAAATTAGATATCTGGGACACTCTTAATACGAATGTCAATACATGCGGTGGGGATAATACATGACATGCGACAACATTTAGAAAGCTACCTTCGTTAAGATTCGACAATGTCGATGTTTCATGGTGCGGAGCTTCTTCCGCTTTTCAAGGGAAAAAAAACAAATAAGATGTTTGTAATGTTTATCATTAGACAATTGACAAAAATAACACTCTGAGAACAGTAGAGCGATGTACTTACTTTTAGGTACCGATGTATCGAGTGCAGTTTGGAATGGTTGTTGCGGTGGTTGTTGAAATGCTGGAAAAGTGGTTGGATTATTATTAAAAAATGTATTAGTAGCTGATTGAGTTGGTGGTGTTGCAAGAGAGAAAAGATCATCGGTTAATAATTGTTGCTGTTGATTAACAGTATTTGCTGATGGCAAGGATGGATATTGTCCATTCGATGATGATGATGTCGGTTGGTGCTGAGAAAAGAAATTTGTATCACCAAAACCATTTCCACTCGATGTTGTTGTCGGAGCATTGGAAAAATCTTTGTTCTATAGAGATAGGCATAGTATAATTGATATAATGGCGAAAGTTTCTATTGAAGATTCGAACCTTATTGAATAGTGCAAGTGCTTTAGCTTCTTCTTCGAGTATCTTTTGTGGATCATCGCTATCATTAAATATTAAATCACGCGAAAAGCTCTTCAGATCTTGTTCCGTTTGATGTCTAATAAAGAATCTTTCATTATATAGTATACATTTCACTTTCTTTGCAAATACCGTGAGATTGATGCTTGCGGTGGTATCTTTTTACCTTCCATATGTGCCAAATGATTTTCCAAAGCTTCCAAAAGACTACTTGGTGCCTAAGAATATCAAAAGATGGCATAATCTATCTTCTGCTAAACATCAATCAATAGTATTCTTCAATTTAGTCAGAAACTATTAAATTCATGCAAGTTTTATCTCCATTTCCCTTCGCACTTACTCTATTATCATCAATTCTCTACACATATGTATATAAATTCTCAATGAAATGTTCGTTTTCGAAAGTCGGATTCTTCGCACTTACTCGTGATAAATCCGGGATTTCACTTCGATCCATACCCGATGTCTAAAAATGAGAAAACAAAACAGCATTAGATCTTCAATCTCATTGTCTCTGAACATTTTCTTCATGTTAGTATCTCGCAAACTATTAGAGCAAAGGAAATCAAAGTAAGCCATATTATGGTAAGAGTAATTGGTTTCTATCGAGCAAAACAAACCCGATAAACATAAACGGAAAGTTGCTAGAGAAAGAGAGACAAAATCAAACCTGGTCAAATTCGTGAAACAAACAAAGAAAACCAAATGGTGACAAGAAAGGTGGTTTTTCATTCTCAATTGCGATCGAAGTCGATCGTTACCTGTTTCCAAAATCCTCGCTCAAATAATTGACTGTATCGCTGATGGATTCAAAGAATAGTCTGAAGACATTCAGATCGATTAACACTTACCTCAGCCACTTTAAGAAAAGTTGACACTTTGTCGGTTCGTTCGAGAAATCTTTTGTAAATGTCCAATCCTTCGCGGCACTGCTTTTTATTCATATCGAAATATTTTTCTGCAAGATAAAGAACAGTTTTTCGATAAGTAAGAAGCAAAGCTTGTTGATTTACCAAGTAGATTGATCATTCCATCATTAAATGCAGCATATAAACGTATCAGATCTTTGATTAAGAGAAAGAAGCAACTATTGATAACACCATTTGTAAGTTCATTGGGTGTAACCTAAACAGAGTAAGAAAAATTCATTGATTTTATGTGAAAATTCATTGATTTCTCATGCATCATCTCAATTCACTGCAATTCAAACTTACAGAAGATTTCAACTTTTTATCCTAAACTTTTCTTTTTCTTTTTCAACGAAAATTTCAACGAAAAAACTTACTTCAAATTCTAGTAAAGCATCGAGTTGTTTTTGAAGAATCGGAAGTGCTTTCAGCAACTAAAACATTGAAGAATATATCTTCAAATTCGATACAAATTTGTCTCCAACCTTATCCGTCGGCATTGTACGAAGAACACCATCATCTTTTCTACAAAAAAGAATCGAAATTGAACGATTTCAAACGAAGTTATCCAAGACAAAACAAACCCTCGTTTGATTTTGCAGAAATCGTAACCTGTTAATTTGTAAGCATCGCGTTTTTCGTTCAAATAATTTGCATAACGTCGAACATAACTCGACATATCACCACCAGGCATTCCCATTCGATCCAAATAAGCAGCCGGTTGAAGACGATGGTTATGCGAAGCCATATACGCTTCAAAACGCTAAAATATCCAACTTGATTATGAAAAATTCTTTTCACAAAAAGATTCACTTCATTTCCAAAGCACATGAGATGATGTATGGTAATTAATGCTTTATAGGAAACCACCCATGACGAATTTTGCGTACGTTCAATCAGTAAATCAGCCAATTGAGGAATAGAAACATTCATTTCATTTGTTGCTTGCAAAAGAACTTCACAAAACACAAAGTAAAAGATGTATTAACACAAAAACTCTTCTTACAATCTAAATGTTTTCGTTTGGGACCCATGATTTCTTCAGTTGTTGCTTTACAAACAACTTTCGCTAGAGCTTGTCCAGCGATGGTATTTTTCGCTGCTAGAAGTCGATCAACGAGACTTTGTCCACCCGGTTGCATTTTGCAAGTCTATTCTAGAAGAGAAAATGGGCAAAACAATACACGTAAACATACACAAAGAGTTTTTCCTTGATTGATTATCGTGCTAGTGACATTATTTGTCAAGGTCATTCAAACCATCGAGTAAACATCTGAATGTTAAACTAGATTCGACTAATTATGAAAAACAAAGCACAAATCAGTTGCTCAATCAGTAAAAATATCCTGATTTGTGATGGAAAGAGAAAAATATCATGTGCTTGTTTTTTATTTTCCAAATGTCGACACATGTGTACTTGAATCTGATTGGTGAATAGTATGGAATCGAATAAAACATGGATCACTAATGGAAATCAGGAAGATTTAGTTGAAATGAATATTCGAATCGATAATGAACTTTTTCAACAATTGAAAAACCATCGAATTGAACAATTCAAAGTCAAGTATCCATCGAAAACATTCAAGTATAACAAATATCCTTTTGTTCTGTTTGATACGTTTGCTTCTGATCAATTTTCATATTTATTCTCCTTGACTTTTTCTTTTTATGAATTTTTAAGCCATAGAATATATCGATTATTGATTAAAAAACTACGCCGACAATTTCTTCGACAACGAAACGCGAAAGAACGTGATGACAAACTTCGATGCGAAGAAATTCAAAGAGAAAATGATCCACTGCATCAAGCATGGATTATTCATCGGGAAAATCTTCGACATCAGCGAGAAATTCAAGAAGAACAAGAGAAGTACGATTCAGACAAGAAAATGATAACTGCTAATGATTTTATCTAGTGAAAAAGCTCGAAAAGCATATGAACAAAGAGAAATCCAACGAAAAAAGTTAGAAGAGAAACAAAAGGTAAGATCGGTCACCAGTTCATCGTTATTTGACGTTTCACATTTGTAGACAGTGTCCATTCCAGCTACCACGCATAATCCACTTGCTCTATATCAAGTTCCGAGCATTGAACGTCCTCCATGCGCATTTTATTCCAAAACCGGCGTGTGTCGATACGGTGAACGGTATGTTCGATCTTTTCAATTAATTTCCTTGAAAATGCTTTATGTTTTTCAGTTGTCGACGTGCGCATCCAAAAGCAGATATCACCAACACTTTGTTAGCTGTAAATATGTACTCGAATTTTGAAATGCAATATGGATTGGACGAAGAATATGATCTGGGTAGGAACGAATCGAATGAATTGGAATACTATTGAGAGAAGATTGTAGATATTGGCTTGGAATTTGAAGAATCAGAACGATATGAAAATTTTAAAGATTTTTATTATGATGTGCTACCAGAATTTGAACGATTTGGACAAGTAATAACGTTCAAGGTTTGTTCGAATTCAGAAATTCATTTACGCGGAAATGTTTACATACAGTACGAAACGTAAGTGTTTTTCTCATTTTCATACTGTTGCCAATTTGTTTTCAATAGAGATTATCAAGCCATGTTAGCGTACAGAGCATTGAATACTCGATATTATGCTGGTCGAATGATTCAATGTCAATTTGTAAATATTCCTAGTTGGTCAACAGCGATTTGTGGTGAGAAATACGGACGATTTATTCTTTAATCGCTGATTATTCATAGGTTTATCTGAGCTCGGTAAATGTCCGAAAGGTCGTCGTTGTAATTATTTACATGTCTTTCGAAATCCATCATTAAAATCGAACCGATCTCGATCTGAAGATCATTCGACAAAGAAAAAGAAGAGACGTCACCATTCCTAATTGAAATTGGTCCTTTCTTTTGTAGATAATTCGTTCTATTCTTTCATTTTGCCATAACTATGAGTGAAGATAACAATACAACTACAACTAATAATAACGAAATAAATTCTGTTTTCTCAGAACAGGATAAAGAATTAGCAAGTAAAGCAAAACACGAATATGAAGCAGGACAGTTCGATGGTATGTTATGCAGAAGTTCAATGGAACCAGATTTGATGAGAAATTTCGTTTTAGTTTGTCTGAAAACTTTGCAGAAAATTTTGGAATCGTATCCAGATGATCCAAAAGTTTTGTTTAATATTGCCTTAACTGAATACTCGATGTCTAACTATCAAAAAACCGAAATATTCAAAACTCAACTGAATAAAATCGCTGAGAAAGTAAACATTCATTTTTGGTTTGAAGAAAAACTTCTGAATTCCTACTCTTTAGCTCAACTGCACATCAGACGATGTTACAACTTTGGAAGAACCCGATCAATGTACAGTATTCTATAATATGGCTGTTCTTCTTTATCATATGCGTCAATATCAAACAGCATTAGTCATTGCTGAAAAACTCTTTCGACTAATCGGACAACTCGGTAATTATTTCATATTTCAATGTCTCGACATTCTTCGGAATATTTTCTAGATGAAACACTTTCGTGGAAAGTTTGTCTTCTTCTCACTGAACTCGATTTGTGTACATTTCAAGTAAGACAATTGGTGTTTGTTGGGAAAAGTAATTGAATTGTCTGTTTTAGCCGGATAATGCACTAGGTGCTATTGCACATCTCGACAAATTACTCGCCGAACGAAGTAGTCCACCATCAAATGGTGTATCTCATAGTCCAAATATGTTAAATGATAATTTGGAAATTCTCAAATCTAAGATTAGTTTGGTGAGTCCTTCTTTGTTCATTTCTTCATCTCAACATCCATTTTTCAGTATAAAATTCGTTGTTTACTCATGCGTAAGTCATTGCGTACATGTAAAAAAGAATTAAAACAACTTCAAAACACCAATCTAGTACGTTTATTGATATTCTTTCTTTTATTCATTGTTCTTCTCTTCAGTCATCAACAAGTCTAACCTATGCACGTGCGAATTTCGAATATTTCAAAGAAAATCACATTCGAGCATTAAAGATTCTCACCAATAACCAACAAAACAATCCATCAGTTCCATCATTACAAAAAAACTCCTCGCATTGCTTTTACAACAATCTTTCATGTATACACTTTCATTTACATAAATCTGCATTCGCTCTATTCTACATGCGTCGTGCCTTAACCGAAAACAATCGTTTATTGGTCGAACAATTAAATTCTACTGACAAACAATTGATTGCTCATCAAATCAATCGTAAATATGAAATTCTTTACAATCTCGGCATTCAATTACTATTCAAACATCAACCATTGGCTGCATTTGAATGTTTAATCGAAGTCATACATATTTATTCGAATAATATTCGTCTATGGTTACGTTTAGCAGAATGTTGTATAATGGTCTATCGTTCATCGAATGAGGACATATTCAAATTAGAAGAGAAGTTGAAATGTGTATTGCAATCGATCGGAACAGGTTTTCATCATAAATTAATTCTGGGAAATTGTAACACATCGACCTCGATGAAACGATCAACGACGAGTGATCATGAAAATTGTTCGATGGAGTTCGCGATGATTTGTTTGAAAAATGCGTTAACATATTTACCAGTTATTACTGATGCGGATTTACAGTAAGAGAAAAAGTCGTTTCGGAGGGGAAAGTTCGCGGTTTTTGTTTGTAGAAAAGAAGAAACGAAATTGTATCCGGCGCCACCAGGAAATCCCATGCGAATTGGCGACATGCTGTCATTGAAATGTTCGATTTTAATTGCAGCTGCTTACGTTTCTCTATGTTTAAACGATTTCGTTTCGGCGAAGAACTATTCAACAAGTCTATTGAGTGAACCTCGAGCATCCTCTGGACATAAGTTTGTCGATTCTGTTTTCTTATTTATCGACAAAGATTTGTTTTCATTTAGATATCTTGCTCGATTATATTTATCCGAAAGTTTCTTAGCTATGAATAAAATCGAATTAGCACTCACGCAACTCGATGCCGATACAGTGAAAAACGAAAGTGATCTTTCATTTAAAATACCCATCACTACAGTTGATAAAGGAGGTAGAAGAAAAGTTTTCGACTGTTAGATCTTTTTTTTTATTTTTCTATTCGTTGATTTAGAGGAGAAATCTGATACACCAGAAACAACACCAACAGTTCCGAAAGGTATGTGAAACGAAAGAAATTTCGTAAGAATCGATCCGTTTTTCTTCTCAGCTGATTTAGTCAATTGGTCACCACGTGATGCTCGAGTCGGACAAGCGATTATTTACTATAACATTGCTGCTATCTATGCAATTACACATGATGTCGAAAAAGCTTTCAAAAATTTCAATCTAGTATGTGTTATTTTCCCTTCACTACGTTTTTCTGATGTTTTTGTCTCGATAGTTTGTTAATTTGTTTGGCAAATCACAACCAGCTCATTCATTTCAATTGAAATTCTACTTAGATTTACTCGATGGTAATGATCGAAACTTTCTCATTATGATTCAATCTCGTTTTTCCTAGGTAACCGTCATCGACTTCAAATTTTATTGAAAGAAAATTTCGGCCATTTAACATCGAATAAATCATTTGTTGCTCTTCCAACTCACACACATCCTGCATCAACTAACAACTCCTAAACATGATTTCATTCACACTAAAACTTTCTTTTCTTTGTTCGTTATGTTTATTGTTGTTGTGCTCATTTTTTAAGGTTATCTTTTTTTGTTATTGCATATACACGATTTGATTTCTCTGGATGTTTTTTTTTTAAATATAAAACAAATGCTTCAGCAGTAGACAATTGACACTGCTGAAAGAATAACAACATCGCATCGACATTCATCTGTCAATATACTTTCACAAAAACCTTGATCTTATCATTATTTTCAAATCAATTCGTGCAATGTCTTTTAAGTTGGAAGCTCTCGTCGTTCAGTACTATAATCCAAAACTTGTCTATTTTCACATCCGATATACTTGGTATAGATCCTATTTTCTTCTCTATTGTACTCTTCACCCTCGTTGTAATCTTACTTCTTTAAATAGATGAGCCGACTGCACGTTTTAAGTTCATGGGACACTGTATCTAAATGAGACTAATTTAGGAAAGAAGATTTCGAAATAATCAACATGACATATGATACTCGAGCCATCTAATCCTTCGTTATGATTATCTATCTTATCTACGTGAAACAAACGATTGATGTGTTCACATTCGTTGAGCTCTTTCTTGTTACCTATGTGAACAAGTAGAATACCGTTGGATATATGCATATATAGAAGTTTAGTTGTTTTTGTAAATACGCAAAAAAAGAAAAAAGAGAAAAACACAAGCAAATAAAAGACAACAGAGAGATTTACAGAGATACAAGACACGAGAGATTGAATAAAGAACAAAAAGTGAAACGAATTCAAATCGAGAAACGCGACGCATTTGAAATATATAAATAAAAATGTATATGCTTGAGTGTATATAAGCGAATGATCTGCCTGTTGAACTTGTTGCTTTTTTTTCTTAGTCGATCTAACTGATATCACTGTGACGAGAGAGAAAAGAAACGCATGAACAAAAGAATATTAATACATGTTATATACAGAGATGAAAAACAAAAGATTCGACGGCTCAGGGTTGAATATTTTGTGTATTTCAGAATGAGTCTCTTCTTTCTTTTGTGACGAATCGATTTTGTTCGTGAAGAGCGTCGGATGATCGGTGTTTAGAGTAAGAAGGAGATGAAAAGAAGAAAGAAAAACGAAAGAAATATGTAGAAAGATTCTTTTCACTTAGTGCTACTACCACAACATCCTACATCGCTTCCACTTCCGCCGGAATTTACTGGTCGATCGACAGTTATCGAATTACCACCCGATGATTTTCCACCTGGCGTTGATGAATCTTGAGTTTTCGGTAATTTTTTCGCTATTGCCATAAATATATCATTAACATTTACTGCTGTCTTAGCGGATGTTTCCATAAATATTAAACCATTTTCTTCTGCGTATGCTTGAGCATCAGCGACTTCGATTTGACGTTTGGCAGCTAAATCAGCTTTATTTCCAGCTAATGCAATAACAATATTCGGTGCTGCTTGACGTTGTAACTCTTTAACCCATACTTTAGCTCGACTGAACGTATCCGCATTGGTTATATCATAAACAACAATAGCTGCTTGTGCACCACGATAGTACATTGGTGCTAATGAATGATATCTAAAAGAAAATCTTATCTTCGAAACCGATCAACTATTCAGTCCGCTTATTTACCTTTCCTGGCCAGCAGTATCCCATAATTCGAGCTTAACTGTTGTATCATCAACCGAAACAGTTTGTGTAAGAAAAGCTGCACCAATTGTTGACTCTTGGTATTCATGAAATTGTCCTTTGACAAATCGAAGTACTAACGATGACTTTCCTACTGCTGATTCGCCTAGTAGAACCATCTTGAATTGGCATGTGCGCGCTGCTTGGCCGTTGGCTGTTGACCTATTGGCAGCTGCATTGCCTGCTGGACGATTATTGCTAGTCATTGTCAAAGAATTAAAGATGAAAAAAAAGGCGTTTTTATATCTTCAATTGGTCGAATGAACACAAAATAAGTGTATTAGATAATATCGTATCTGCAATGAAAAAACAAAAAATCAAACACAAATATATGTCATGACTTATCAATCACACGCTCAGCGAGGGAAGAAAAGAAATCATACGACGACGAGAGAAGGCAGCCATCTTAGACAGGCGCTCATGTGCATCTCCAATGCGGTGATTTCTCCTCAAGACATTTAGCGACATCTACTCAGAATGAAAATAAACTTTCAAATTCTGTTAAATTCGAAAGAAAATTCAAGAAATTTTATTTTAAAAAAATGGAAAAAGACTTTCTTCAGATTGGTTCTTTTTCATATGATCAAGATTGAGTCACTTGTACTCAACTATATGAAGAAGAAATAAAGAGGTGATCCCAGCTGATCTTTTCGTACGCTACACATTGGTCTTCAATTATCTCTATATATACATACGTGCTTTTCTTTTTCATCATTAGATATTCATCTCCTTACAAACAGTAACTATTACACAGTACATTCTCATGGGTAACTGTTGGCGTATGCCTGAGGATCATTCCGGTTTACTTCATGTGCCTACTACACCTTTTGCGTCAATGCCTACCTCAGCAGCACTTCCACCTGCAAATTCTTATTTAACATTCGTTCATCCGAACTCTACAACGTCAAATATGCACATGCCGAAAGTAAGAGATCGAAATCAGTTCGTATAAAATTCGATTTTTTGTAATGGATGATTCTAGTTAGTCATATTAAATCGTTCCTCTGCTGATTTGGATGCGATCAAAGCTGCTCAATGTCGAAATCTTGTTGAACATTTACCATTGATCAATTACAATGAAAAAACAGTCAAACAAACCGAGTAAGATGTCCTCTGCCATTCAAATTCATCATTGAATTTTCTCCTTAGGTGTGATATTTGTCTAATGGATTTTCTTCCTGGCGAGCAAATACGACAATTACCATGTGATGGCGGACACGTTTTCCATCCGAGTTGTATCGACAAATGGTTAGAGAAAAGTTTAACTTGTCCACATTGTTCAACAAATGTTGATGCGGCACTACTTCTCAAATTCGTTCCACACGCTAGAAACAAGAGCAGTCACGCAGATGACGATGATGATGACGATTGGTAATTTGTCCATTGGTTAGCAAAAGCAAACTTTGTACATTATGCAAATGATGTTTTGCTCGTGTCTATACTCATGCAGATTTCTCTTCACGTGTTTTTTTTCAATATTTTTCAGGTTTTTCGAATGTCTGTAGAATAAAAACGAAGGAGGAACGCGGAGATCTGTATCGTCTATTGACTTTTTTTGTGATACTATTGTATGGATGCGTATATGTGACGTGTATTTTGTAATTTCTATCTGTTTTTTTTTAAATAGAAAAATACAGACCATCACCTTTGATCAAATTTCAAATATTCAGGAGGATTTTGCTCGTGACGTTCGATTGCCCTGAAAGATTAGCATTGTCTAGGTGACTCAACTGAGTATTTGAAACGGCAAGAAGGTCAAATTAAACAATCTCGTTCTGTTCTTTGTTTTACATGATAACGAGAAAGTACGTGTAATGTCTGGTATTACGTTATTTCATATTTTCTTGTCATATGACATTCGTTAAAGACATTAGATAATCATCTTCAAAGCATTGGAGTACTTATGTCAGATTCACCATAGTCATTCGATGATTTTGTCAGAAAACATGACTTCTAAGAGGAATAGTCTTGTCAACTTTCTAATCTGACATGCTGTGAAGATAATCACTAGGTTAACTCGATGAAATTAACAGTTCTTTTCCTACATTTTATGGTGAACATACGTCAGATCTACTTCTCTTGTTAATATTTAATTAATAGAAGTCTCGTGGGAAATATTATAATCAAAATTTCCCAGAAAAATAAGCATTTCGAAAAGTTATTAATCGAGGTATTGATGAATCATCACAAATGCATATCGCATCTTTGAAAAATTTTACTTTTTGCTCTCGCACACAGCATTTTCCGTTTGTTTACATAGTAACATTTTGTCCACACGAATGCAAGCAACCAATGAATTCACCCTCGACATTAAAATTTGTTTTTCATTACCGATTGAGTGTATAACAAGCGATATACAATGATTAAATACCGAAAAGTTTTAATTATAACTTAGGTGTCTATCAGCAATTCTAGCTGTTCGTATTTATTTTAAAGTACACATGTATATCTCATATGTGATATATGCCAAGAAGAACAATGGCCGATGTATAAGAATGAAAATAAACAAAAGAAAAAAGGTAAAGAGACAGAATCGAAGCTAGACAGACATTTAAATCAAACTAAATACTTTTGTGTCTGTCAACAATCATTATCATCATCTTTCCATGTAAAGAACAAGGGATTAATCATCGATCTAGGAGTTGTAGCGAACAAATGCAATTTGAACACGAAAGAAAAACGAGGGAAAACAATGGTCAGAACAAGAGACATTTGTCAAACAAAGAAAGAGTAGGAGAGAATGACATATACATATATAGGAAAAGAGAAGATGTCATCAATACACAGAAACAGAATCTGACACACCGAGAAAAGGATAGATCTCACTGTATCACCAAGAAAAATGATGAAGTTATGTTGAAATAACTGAAGAGTAGGGTTTGCTTTTTTTTGCCAAGTATTGTCTTTGTTTCGTAAGGCTCTTCATTCCATCATCCACCGGAAATGAAAAACGATTTAAAATAGAAAAAGAAAACAGATTGTTATTGAGTAGTCGTCGAAAAGAACTCGGTTGTTCTTGAGGAAGATAGCACCGTTGGTGAAGAGGCAATTTGAAGAGTCTCATCTCCGAAGTTCTCCTCGCCACTTGTATTATCTGTTGAATCAAAATACACTGAACTCGGTCCTGAAAAAGCACGAACAACACAGTTCGATGTCCTTTCGAATGAATTAAGTTGAGAACTTACTTCGCTTCAATGGCGAACTCGTACAATCATACGAACGTGTTGTACGCATTTCTAGATCTGATTCATGATATTCTGTTTGATTTGCTGTGTGATTTAACTTTCTTCGAACTTTCGTTTTTGTCGAAGTTTGGTTTAGACGTGGTAAAGACGATGAAACGTTCTGTTTTCGATGAAATAATTTTGGTGATTGCATCAATGGAGGCGAATGAACATCGTGCCAATCCCAATCAAGTGCATCGATTGTATTAAATACTGGTCGATTATGTTGATGATAGTATTTTGATAATGACGGTGAAATCGAGATTTGAGATTGAGAATATCGTTTCGATAAACTACTCAAGTCCGTAGCGATATGTTCAAGATCGGAATAGAATCGACTGGTTTGTTCCAACGCTCGATCTAAACCTTTTTCCGTTGACATATATGACATCACATGTGATTCAGTTGCTGTCTCTAAATGATCGAGAAAGATTTATAGGATGAAACGATTAAGAAAATGATCATTTACGTGTATCATGAAGTAATACACCACGACTGAGTGCTGTGTCTGAATCGTATCGTCTTGAACCCGAATAATGTAATGTATTGGTTCCATTAGTTGAATAATTAATCATTGATTCATCGTCATCATCATCATCATCAATAATTGCACTGGGATTAGTCTCTGCTGTTGTTATTGATGTTGTCGTTAGATCATGAAGATGTGCTTGATTACGCGATGATCGTATTGTTGAAATTTCTTGACAATCAACACCAGAATCACCCGTTAATGAATTGGAATGATAAGAGTCTTGCAATAGACCAACTGTTCCTAACGATGAAGAGATTTCTGACCATGTCATTTCATCAGATAGATGACTGGCAGTAAATGTTTTATTTGGAATAGACTCGTGACGTTTATCAATAGGTAAGCCAAGCAGTGGCTCTCGGTCCGAGTCATTCGAATAGGATGGACGATGAGATCGATTGATTGTTGAGTTTGCATTGTGGTGAATTGCAGGTAAAGATTGTTTAGAACTTGTTGATGACCGTGGTCGTTTAGTGTATGTTACAGTAATTTCATTTCCATTCGAGGAAAACGATGAATGTTCTTGACCCATGTGTAGTGCTTTCGCCTATTCGAAAAAGAGCAAAACGACGAATGAAACTCTTATTTGACCTTTTTTTGTAAACGTGTTCTAGCTTCATTAGAAGCGGTAAATGAGAATTGTTGCTTACATCACGTTTCTTGTTTGACAAAGACGATAGAGTATTAGATGAGATAGATGTTGTTGATGATGATGATGAAGAAGGAGCAAGAAAATTCGAAATAAGACGATAGAGTATGCAACAACCAACGCCAATACCAAATCCAATTAGGCAACATATTGTCTCATTTCGACGAACTAAAATAATTCCAAATGTAAATCTGGTATCGGATATATCCCTTCTTTCATATTGCATCATTCTCATATAAATAACAAGTTTTTGTTTTCATACATCTGCTCTTTTTTCTCCCTGTAGATATTCATATATATTGAAGATGACAAGAGTCTGAATGATAAATGATCGCTGCATCTCTATTTAACATATCGACAAGCGAAGAGAGGCAAAAATCAAAGGATTGAATGCGTGTTTACGAATGATCAATGAATGACGCATCGTGCTAAATCTTCTCTCTATTATGTCTAATTAACTTTTCTCTGATTATCGATTCCAAGGTGAGCTTTGTTTTCTTCGATGTGTTAAAAAACGATCTTGATCTTTACGATCACTTCGAAATTAGCTCCACCTGAGTGCTTGTACACACAACAAAAGGATCTGCGACATATGGTATATTCATCAATGTATAGTCTCAACCAACTGACGCGCATAATGTAGACAGTTTTATTACCTTTTTGCCAAATGTTTCGTGGAAGTACAATGACTAGAAATTTCGCTGGTTTGATATAATAATTTAATAAAAATCTCGCCGGACGAACAATGAAGAGATTAGGTAGAAGAATGTAAAATGGTTTACTCGTAATCAAGCTCCATAATGTTGATTTGCGGTCATCATTAATACTTGCAGTCATGACGATTAATTCGATCTGATTACTGAATTACTTCTGCTCTCTATTCTCAATGTATATATACGTATAGAAATGAGAAACAATATGCGCGCACTTTTGTCTCTCTCTCTCTCGTCTCTTCTGTTTTTAGTATACACATGTGTTTTGATAGAGATACATATATACAGCAGGGTGCTTTCTCTCTCTCTCCCTTCTCTTCTCTTTTTGGACGAACGAATGTATATCGTATGATTGAGAGGAGAAAAAGAAAAACGAAAAAAAAAGAGGAAAGCGAATAAAACTTATCGATGAATTCAAGATGAGTGAATCTATAGCAATGTTTATGATATATGTAGAAATGACCCTTAATATCCTATGTCTTCGCCTGACCACACACCCAGACATGGTGAAGGAGCATGTTTTTTGTTGTGATTACAATCCACTAGGAAAATAAGTCGTCATCAAATTCTTCCAGATGATGAACATATTAATAAGAAAGAGAGACGACCTTTTCTTCCTTGACAAACATCTGATAAATAGGAATCAATGAACTAATACGAGACATTTTGCAAGACGTATTCGATTAATTTCTATTACAAGACAAGTAGAGATGAACATCGACGTGCGCGCTTCGATTGTAAAGGTCAATAGGATGTTTCAATTGAAAATTTCACACAAAACTCATGTGCATGTCACACCTTCGAATGGTATTGATCGAACACTACGCCTAATTATTTGAAATATTGATTTCAAACAAGTGGAAAAGCGTTTGCATTAGATATTTGACCGAAAAAAAAAATCATTTACTTCTCGCCTGTTGACATCCGCTGCATTGAAAAACGTCAAACATTATGTAAACATTTTATGCAATTACTTCATTCACACATGAGGCAAATCCACAAGAACAACTAACTGACAAGATGGTGAGAAAATGGCAAGTCGATCATGAAGGTGAGCAAGTTTGGTATTCTATCATTATAGAGCGATCATTTTCAGTTTTGCTTGATCATCATGTGGGTGTAAAGAGAAAACAACGAGTGTCATGATGACTAATTCAATTCTTCGGTTCAGCTTAATGATAAACAAGCTTTTTCGTTCCACTATGCTTTTCTATCTGTTTCAAATGAGCATTGACGATGATTAACAAATGAATAGACGTGATAAAGTTCATCGAGAGAAGATTTTCTTCGACTAAATTTAGAAACATGTCCAATGAAGAGAAAGATGTTTTTTCAACGATCATCGTATTACACAAATAAATCTTTTCAGCCGACCAAGGACAGATTTTTGCTTTTTTTATCTAATAAAAACTCTCGTGATTCGTCTTGACCTTTGATTCACCCGATACTTCTATATATGTATCCATTTCCGGAAATTTAAAATAATCTTTTGTCGAAGCAAATCTGCTTAACTAAACCCGATTATCATCAATAATTCATTTCTATTCGTATTAAAACTATCAGCTGTATCTGAATTTCGAAGAAAAAACCGAGAAATAAAACCTCACTCGTCATTAATTATATAAATGTGTTCATCTTCTGCAACTACCATCCCTTTGGGGAATGTCGACAGTCAGCTGTCAAATAGAATTATTCTAATTTGATCTTCTCCTTCTGTACTATTTTATTCTCAATGCTATCAATTACATGTTTTTGATTTCTAAAAAAACACATTCGTTTCTATATTTGTATCTCGTTTCTCGTCATCAAAGATTGTTGATCATAACAAACACACCTGTTTTCTATTTATATAAAGAATTCTTAAACATAAGACTGAAATCAAACATTGCTGATGATACTAATAATAACAAGGCAAGGCGAAACGATTAGAGTCGATCGATTTGTCCTAATTATTAACGCAAAAAGATACGGAAAAGAAAAAAACGAAACTTACCAGCTGAATCTTGTTTCGCTGGATCATTTAACACATCCAACGTTATATCCACATAATCCTCAATTTCTTTAACGTTCATATTTGCGAAAGAATATGGTATTACGAGCAACACCGTTAAAATATTGAAGCTCAACATAAACGATGACGATTAACGAGGTATAAAACGCTCGTCCGGCAATTCTGCTTTCTGCAACTGTGGACAGTACGATTTATGATGTCATCGACGATGCGCACATACGTATATTTCTATCGCACACATATCTTCTAATGATGACGTGCACATCCAATTTTTTTTTATTCCTTTCAGTACACAAACAAATACATCATAGTCGTACATAAAAGTGATCTGTATAGTCAAAACGGTTTTCTTTCGAAGAGATACACGTCAATCGAATGACTGAGAAAAGATCAATAAAAACAAGATGACTAAACAGATTGATTTGTTTCTCCGAGACATACGCAAGCAAATGTCAATGGCAAAAGTTCGAGGTTAAACGATAATTCATTGCAGATCTTACATCACATTTCGAAGTAGCCTAAATGAACGCGAAAGAGTCTAGACGGAGAAAAGATTCGCTAACATAACAGAAAATTAATCACGTATGAATATCTATTGGCAATGATATACCAGAATCATTATTAATGATTTGTTATCGACTCATTCTTTTGAAAAATAAATCCAAATATCCTTAATTGATTTCTACATGATCTATGAAAAATCATTTGATCATCATTGTGACATATAGAATTGTTTCTTCTCTCAACATCCCTTCGATTTCTATAGACTTGCTAATTTTCTCGACAAATATTTCCCTTTTCTCAGCAGAAATCTATTACCATAACCTTGAAAACAATTTCAAGCAAAACTATCTGTCCATAATTAAGTAGCCAAACAAATTCAATACAAGAAAAATGCTTCTTTGTTCTAGATTTGTTACACTTACCATATTCAATTATCGCGTGAATAATACATGTTGTTAAAAAAAGTCTTGTTATTCGATTCCACTTCTGTTTAATCGACACAATCATAATCATAAATATCTGCGAATTAATCGGGATATTTTGTCAATACATTCATATCAACATTGTATAAATCTTTCGGAGATATATGTATATATATATACAAAAGAGCACTTGCCGAATGAAGATTGAATATCTGTGATAGACTGACAAATATTTCCTCCTTCTTGCTGTTATCATTTACAACATCTGCCTCGTCTTGATTTAATGATGAAAGCTTAACGAAGAAGGATATAAGCATTATCCGGCTATCTCTTATTTCTTTNTTTTCTCAGCCGTTCGATTGACGTGTATCTCTTCGAAAGAAAACCGTTTTGACTATACAGATCACTTTTATGTACTGAAAGAAAAAAAAAATTGGATGTGCACACCATAAGAAGAGATTTTGATCGAGTACGACAGAAGGAAAGTATCGATTCGATGTTGAAAGATCGATTGGAGTCTTATGCAATCGAATTCTGATGTGCTGTTGATAGGATACTCTTATTTACAAACGTACAAGTATTTAATAAGAAACTCGATTGTGACCTATTTATTATTTAAAAGCAAACAATACTCGAACTGTCTTCTAACGTTTCGTCTTTTATTTGACATTTATTGAAAAGAATACCCTGAGATGTTAGATCGATTTACCTTTGAATATAAGCCACGGGTCATCGTATAATGGTGGTAGATAGATACAGATTTGAAATGCACGCATGACACATTGTGGTTGAAGTACAATAAATCGTTCACGGTTTATTAAACGTGTCAATGTTTCACTGGAGACTACCTGTGAAGAAAAGGAAAATGAAATGCATTCAATCTCGTTGAGTAATAAGAGACGAAGAGACTCTAATGACGAGCAATTGTCTTTCTTCAATTGAATGAACAAATAAAGGAAGCACAACTCTTAGTCTATACATCTTACGATCACTTCTTTCATTTATATAATTATCATTTCCTTGAAAGAACAAAGACAATGGATTAAATAAGTATCATAAAGAGATATATGTAAATCTATTTCGACTGTTACATTACTCAATTACATATACGGTTTCCAGCTAAAGGTCATTGAGGATAGGAGCTGGTATGTGCATTAAGATACGCAAATCAAGACATCGAATCGTGTGGTATCATAGTTAAAACACCTACTTGAACCAACAAATGAGTAGTTTTCATTGTTCGTGAATAAGTTTTCGATATCGGCGAAACCGCCGATAATTGCATTGCTATTGCCAATAACAGTGTTGATTGGTGTAAGTAATTACGAAACACATGGTTATCGGCAAAATACCAACAAGTGAGAAATCAGTTCAAGCCAGAAAATACGAAGAGAAACAGCAATAACAAGGTCTTCTATTCTATCTTGTTTATCTATTTTCTCGACGCTAAAGACAGAGAAGCATGATAGAAATCAGCGAGCGAGAAGAAGAACAAGAGAAGAAAGACGGATGAAGGCACAAACACAGAGAAGGGAAAAAAACGAGAAAAGATTTTCTTTTATCAACGTCATCAACTGATCGTGCTCCGGTTTGGATGCTTAGCAATAGGCAATTGCAATGGAAGCGGTTTTATGTTTGTGTCTGCCGTCAGCGAGCAACATATATATATATATGAAATGAAAAAAAAAAGAACGCAAGAGCAGCATCTCATTAAGCACACGCGTTTGTAAAACGCTCTTTTCTCTTCGTCGCCACGTTGTTGCTGCTTACTTACTGCCATTGTTAATCGTTACAACACAGTCTTTCGTCTCTAGCTAGCATATTCATTGAAGACTGTTGGTTTTCATTGAGAACAAGAAAATGCAAGCAGAGGGGGAGGGAGAAAGGCAGGCAGACTTAAGTATTCATAAATATATACAACATGATAAGAGACATAGGAGAAAAAACAAATTTACTTTTGCTTTTCTTTCACAATGAACCTGTACATTGAAGAATATTCAAGGTTTTTCGAGTATCATATGAATAACTCTATTAATGGTTCTTACTCGATATTGTTTGATCTAGTGTCGATCGATTGAAGCCGTTTTTCTGCACTATTATGGTAATAAAAGACGACGATAGGCATTCAATCATCTGACTGAATATGTTCCGACACTGCTACAATTCTAACTTTCCTTTTTTTCTTCTATTATTCTCTCCGATCATCTTTCGCGAAATATCGTATAAGCAAGGGACAAAGGAAAAGACGACGTCTACATTCTTTAGCATAGCGACATATTGCTGATCAATGAGCTATTATTTTTCTCTTCATAAATTAATAATCAGCAAACATAATATATTTATTTTAATATTTATATAAGGTTATTAGGTTCCCTTTTACACACTATTCAAATAATAATATCACTCAAAGTCAATGGCGTTTTGCTGCAAAGAATTCATTCGATGTCGACGGTACACCACCAGCAAGAACTTCATCGACGAACGAAGCAAAATTGTGAACATACGATCCACCCAAGACAATCCGTGCACCTTGTTTGTTCATCATATGAATGTGATAAGATTCTTCATATGTGATTCCTCCAACAACATACACAATGATTTCACTTGGTCTAGAACAAATTCCAACGGAAATTACAAACTCAATGTATGTGTGCACACATGATAAAAAGCGAACTACGATACTTGATTAGTTGTCCTTGTTGAAATTGAGTCTGTTGACTTGTTGTGTGATGGTTGTTCGATTGGATTCGATCTTTTAAACCAACACTCGGATACAAACTGTCCTTGAGTTTGCCGCGTAATAATTGTTCAAGTAGATCTCTGATCAATGGTATATGTTGTGCATAGACATTATCAACGCCCTGAATAGACGTCAAGTTCTGCACTCGTGAGAATATTTCGAAATTCTCTTCATACTTTCAATCCGCGAATGAATTGTCGAGTAATAGCCATGGAGTTTTGTGTATTGAATAAATCAGCTTGTCGATATTTTCTTCCTCCATAGTTCAGTATAGCTTGAATAAACTAATCATCATAAAAACGACGATCATAAACATTTTGGTTGGCATTTTCAGAGATTATTACCTGAATGTACTTCCCGGATAATTGTCGATATTTTAGTGTCTCACGTAGCAATGCGTTTGTTTCGTTATTTCCATGATGTTCGTAACGCAATGCGTACAAGCATATTAAGCGAACGATGTCTTCATCGCGGATTTTATCATCCTGAATCAATTGCTTGATTTTCTATGTCAAAAAGCGGATATTTCGATGAGAGAGTTCATGAGATGACGTACTTGCACGATTTCACTATGATTACTTTGACAAACAAGATTTTGTTCAGTTTCACTCAACTCGAGAAGATTATAAATGCCGACAAGTCGTGATAATTCGCTAACGATGGTCACATGCTTGGAAACAGTACCGGAAAGCTTTTTGAATTGAGGATAACTTTCCACAAATGACTGAAACGAGAAAGAAATTGTATTTTTGTTTTCAGTTATTCAACGACAATTGAGTTGCATTGCAAGAACACAACGACACGTGTCTGTCCTCTTGAGAATGTTGCTTCTCGAAAGTTTTCCATTAATGGAAGTACTTATTTCTGCTACATCTACGATCAATTTTCCGTTCAGTCGATCGATTTATGAAGGCAATTAAGAAAGCATTGAGGAGAACTAATCGTACCTATTTCTATGAGAAAAGAGTCATTATTCATACTTTCATATCTGTAATTGATTCGATTTTCGATTGACTTTTATGTTTTTCCTGAAAATGTTCCATTAAACGTTTGATATTCGTGGCTATTTCACCGAAATTACTATAAAGATTCTAACAAAAACAAACAAATAAATTTTTTACGAGAACAATTGTCCATACATCTGCATAGAATTCATCATACTCAGCATTCATTACCACCTCTTCCAATTCCTTCGTTATACCTGGTACTTGACTAAGATTAACACGATTGTTTTTAATTCCAATCAATTCATGAACCATCGCTTGATATGTCCACTAAAATCAAGGTCACAATTCATTTTAAATTCAGAAGACTAGAAGTGATTGTCACTTGATTAAGTAGAGGAGTAATTGCATCCTCACGTCGATCAACAATTAAGACGATCGTATGGTCGGGAGCGTTGACATTTGAAGATGCAAAGTCAAGTTGTCTTCGAAGAGTATTCTATAGCAAGGAAAACGCTTTTCATTCTGAAAAATCAATGATATGGGCTTACAGATAATCGTTCCGCAAGTATTTTCGTCATATTTGATGATTGTTGATATCGAATCGTTGCACTTTTCTTTCGTAATGATAACAACAAAGACACAAGGCCTTGTGCTGTCCGCCGAAGAAGTTGATCGTTCCAAAGAAAATTGTTCTAACCAAGAGATATCCGAATTCAAATAGTCTGTTCGATTGATTAAATATTTACTTCGTAAGTTATTGGAATGTTAAGTGAATACAAATGTGGATTGATTGCCACGTAATCGGCATAAAATTCTTGAATGACACGAACACATTCATATTCATCGGCTTCTGCTATACTTTTGATATCGTTCAATTCAACGAAATTTGTAAAATCTAAATACAACGGATCGTCTCATAGTCAGCCTTTCCTTTTCCGTAATAGAGAAAGAAGGAGAATTTACAGATGAAATAGCTTCCATATTTTGGTTCTTGTAATTCATGTATTAGTGCTTGAATGTTGTCTTCGGTTGGTCTGAGAAAGCATATGGCGGTAAGATGTTTCAATGATTTCTGACCAGCAACATCAATACGTTCGAAAAGAAAGACTTCTTTCTGAAGAATTTCGGACTGGGCATACACCATACTGACAATTGAAGCCTTGAGTAGAAAGCAAAGATCCTGATTTGAGAAAGATACTCATAGTACTGACTGTTTCTTTATCCATGACAAGTCCTTTGACACATTGGCCAGCATCATCTATCATGCGATTGATGTAGAAGCGAGTTGCTTCGATTACATTCAGATTTGTCATGCTATTTCGATGAAATTTTAAACGTGTTTATGAGTACTACTTGTAACACTATTGACTAACCTATCTAACAAGTGATAACGAAATGAAAATAGAAAAAAATTGGTATAGTGTGGAAAGTAATTTCATTGGTTTAAGCTGAGATAACTTGTATCGTTTTCTACAAAGTTCTGTCTGTTAAAGCTGACATGAGTATATGCTTGAAAATGTCCAGATCTAATCACACCTTTCCTTTCTGTAGTCAAAGCTTTACGCTTTAGGATTTACAGGTATATTAATAAAATATTCAATGATTTTCAATATAAACAAACATGTTTGACAAACATCAGTACATGAATTGATGAAATACGATAAATAAACATTCAGATTAGTACACATCAAAACGACACTTTCTAAACAGTTTTTCAATCAATTGTAGATTTACCAGTAAACGGACATCGTAGTTCTGTTGCGCTCTTATTAATAACATTAAGACTTGACCTCTTCGCTACACCCGTTAGCCAATATGCCGGATGTGAACCTTTCCCCTAGAACATTTCGTAGACATGATCGAAACAATACAAATGAGTCTTACTTTCATTTCAATTTCACCTCGATATTCAATGTTAAAACGATTGTCCACCGCTAGATAGTTATAAGCTGCATGACTAACATGTATTCGATCAACCTGTAGAAAAAAAGAAGAGACAACTTTCCATATACGTCACACGCTTATGTTTTACTTCGCCAGTAGTTGTTATTCGACTTGCCTTTAATATATAACGAGAAACGGAATTATGGATAAAAGATTATCTCTATTACCTACCATATTTACTGTATCACCGAAAAGACAATACTGGATGTTTTTCTTACCAACGATACCGCCTACTGCAGTGCCCGAATGAAAACCTGGAAAAACAATGAAAGTTTAATCATATGTCGAACTTTTCGGTGTGTTTCTACCAAATTTGACTTTGAATGGTTTCTGCGTGATTGGATTCATAATATGTGCACTGGCATCAAGAAGATCCAGTGCTAAATATGCGATGATTTCCGTTTGATGAAGGCCAAGTGGATTTTTACTAGGTGCAACTTCTTCTTCCGGTTCGTCATTATCATCAGTGGCTGAAGAAATCTACATTTAGAACAACTTTTCATTCGACTGTTATAAGAACTAACATGATCATTACTGATGATGATTCTGGTTTGGTAGAATTCAAATGTAATCTATCGCTAAGGCCAGCTACAATCATGTAACTAGCATCCGCTTTAGTTTCTACTTTGAATACATCATAATTATCTTCAATTT